GCTCTCTTTAGAGAGGTATATTATAAGTTTAATAGTTAAGTGAATAGTTATATAACTATAGGTATAGTTTAGAAAACTCTTTATAAATAGACTTACTTTATACCTAAGATTTAATATAAGTAGATATACCTTCTATAAAGAATAATACTATAAGCTAATTAATCTTATTATATACTCTATACTTTCTTAAGTTACTTAGCGAGTAATCTAGTAATAATAGTTTTAAAGCTATTTTAAGTAATTAATATATTATTAACTTTATATATAATATAAAACTTATATATAGCTTTTATAGCTTTTTTAATAATAGTTATTTATTATTTAATTAATAGATTAAAAGAATTTAATTCTATTATCTTAAAGTATATATTAAAGACTAACAATATAAAGATTAAGTTATTTAGTCTAATTATATTATTTATAGCTTTAATAGCTATTTATAAGTATTCCTTAGTATTAAGATCTTTATATTCTTTTATAATAATTTTATAAGTATAATAAAATAAATAGTAATATCTTTTTACTTTATTAATAAAATAATATAATTTTATTAGAATAAGTTTAAATATAGTTCTAATTAACTTAAGTAAGCTTTAAAACTCCTTAGAATTAAAGTTTATTTTATAGTTATAAATTATAAAGTTAAATAGTTTTAAATATATATTAATTTATATAGCTTTAAATATATTAAATATAAATTAAATAAATATTAAACTAAAGTTTTTTTAGAGCTATCTTATTACCTTAAACCTTATTACTTTATTAATTATTAAATATTATAATATCTATATAAATTATATAATTAAAGTTAATATTATTATAAAGTCTAAATTAGAACTAATATAGAATATTTATATACTTTTAATAATACTTATATATCTCTTTTACTTATTATATAATATTAAAATCTAATATATAGCTTACTTAGTTTAAAAGATATTATAAATAATATATTAAAAGATACTTAAATAGTTTATAAAGTCTATAAATCTCTATTTTTATAAGATAATAAGCTGATATATTTCTATTTAAATATTTTAATAATTAATAATATTAATCTAATAAAAGCTATATATACTTATTCTTTTAAACAATTAAGTACTTAAGATCCCCTTAAACTAAGGCAAAAATAAAGTTATTATAATAGATCCTTAGCTTATTAAGCTATTAAAGGTATATTAAGAATAATATATTAATATCTATAATTATAAATTCTATTAATTTAATAAGTATATTAAAGGTAATAATTCTTAATATTACTTTTATATTAGCTTTAAATTAAATCTAATAATACCTTACTTCTCTTTTATTAAACTTAACTTCTTAGATTTATTATAAAGCTTATAACTAATTAAGACTACTTATATTTCTTTTTAATACTTTAGTATTAATTAAAAGACTTTAAAAAGCTATCTTAAACTACTAAGTAATAAAGGCTTTTATTATTCTTTTAAGCTTAAGTTATTTAACTATACTTTAAAGAATATAAATAGTCTTATACTTCTTAAAGTACTAAAATACTTATCTTATATTATACTTTATCTTTAATATATAAAATATAATAATAAAGTATATTATTTTATTTTTATTCCTTATATTTACTTTAGTATTATTAGAATAATTATTATTATTTTCTATTAAAGTATTAGAATTATCTCTTTTATTATTTTTATTAGGTCCTTTAAATTAATTTTAGTTAAGCTTTAAATTTAATTTATCTTCTTTAAGATATATTATATATATTTTATAAGACTTTTCTATAAGCTTAATACTTTTAGCTTTTTATTCTATAAAATATCTTAGTTTTAAAGCTATTTATTCTTAGTCGAAGTAATAGCTATTATAATAATTTATCTTTTTATAAATAATATAACTTATATAACTTAAGAAAACTTTAAATCTATCCTTATATTTATTTCTTAAAGAAAACTTTATCTTTTAGTTTAAGTAGTAAATATTATTATTTATAATATATACTTAAGACTAATTTAAATTATTTTTAAAGTATCTCTTATATTTAGATTTAAAACCTTATATAGTCTTTATACTTATAGTCATATGAAAGCTATTTTAAAGAAAAGATCCCTTAAAACTCTTTATATTAGCTTATTACGTAATATTTTATTATTTTATATATCACTATCTTTAAGACTTAATTTAATACTTTATAACTCTCTTATAAAGCTTTTTAATTATATTAAAGCTAATTTACTTTTTATAAAATAGCTTATTTTAAAATATAAAAAAGATTATATTAGACTATTAACTTAAGTATTAATTAGTTCTTTTCTCTATTTTATAGTTATTATAAGCAGCTTAAACTAGCTTATTAAATAAGTACCTTTTATTTTAGAAGTACTAATAATAATATAAAAGAGATTTATCTTAGAGTGTAAATAGAAATACTTTATATTATATTATAAATTCTATTAATATTTATTAATAAAGATTAATAAAGATATAAAGCTTCTTATTAAGATAATCTTTAACTCTATTATATTAAAGCTTCTTATTATATATCTTATTAAGACTTATAAATAATTTAATTTATTTTAGAAAAATCAGTTTTATAATATATTAACTTAGTTAAATAAGCTCTAAATATAAACTATTTTAATTAAATACTTAAAAAAGAGGTAACATCTTGTCCTTTAAGTATATTATAAGAGCTAAAGTAAGATCTAATAAACTATTATTCTTTAGTTTTTATATTAAAAGCTAATTAATATATTATCTCTTTAATCTTATTAAAAATAATTTCTCTTTCTTAATATTAATAAGTAAAGAGGCTTTATAGAAATCTTTACTTTTTATATAAAGTTTAATATATAAAGGTTCTTAAGATTCTAAATATTAAAATAAAATCTAGTCTTTTAAGAGATTATTTATTTATATCCTCCTTTAGTTATCTTAATATCTTATTTTTATATTATTAAAGGCTATAATATTTATAAATAAAGATAATATATTAAGTAAGTTCTAATAAAGTATTTATTATACTTAGCTTCTTTTTAAATTATAATTTTAAATCTTATTTAAAAAGGGTTTAAATAGTAAGTCTAATAATAGCTTAGTTTTTCACTTATTTAACTAAGTGTTTTCTTACGTTTAAACTATTATTATTAAAGTATTAATAATATATAATCCTTTTTAATATTAAATATAAACCTAGTTCTTTAAAAGATAATCTTATAATTCTTATTATTAATTATTTATTAACTTCTTAAAGTCTTTTATTATTTAATCTAAAAAGTACTTTTAAAAGTCCTAAAATAATATCTCTCTTTTGATACTTTTTCTTATAAAATAGTTTATGAATTCTTAAATTAAACTATTAATATTAGCTTTTATAAGACTTATTAAAAGTACTTTAAGTATTAATATTTCACTTTATATTAAAGTTCTACTACTTTTAACTTTTACTTTAAGTTATTTTATAACTTAGTCTATTAAAGTTATTATTATATTAAAGGCGATTTATAAGTATTCTAAAGATATTCTTTATATTCTAAAAATATTTAATTAAATAGCTTTAAAGATATCTTAATAACTATTATAAAGTAACTATTATTCTTTAATAATATAAAACTTACTCTACTTATTAATAAGAGCTTACTAATATAAATTTAATATTTTATCTTAAGAGTTAACTCTATTATATTTAACCTATTTATTTTATAATATAAAGTAATTACTAATTAATATTAGTATTATATTAATAAATAAATAATAAATATATATTAATATATATTAAAATCTAAAGTTTAATTTAAAAGTATTTAAAAGTATTAAAAGGTATATATTATAAAGAGTATTTAAGAGTTAAAATATATATTAATTCTTAAATAACCTCTAGTTTATATCTAAAGAGAGTCCTTCCCTTAACTAAGATTACCTATTTCCTTTAATTACTTCTTATACTTCTATAATATAGGTTTATAGACTAATATATATATTATCTTATAACTTAAAGTTAAATATAATAAAGATATTATAAGAGAGAATATAGAATTTAAGATAGGAAATATATATAAAAAAGAAAGAATAAGTATTAAATACTTAGAGTCTAGTCTTATATAATAGATATATATAGAGAGTTCTAATACTAAGTCAGATATAAGCTTAATTAACCCAATTATAAATAATACAGATTTTATTTAAGTTTAGTTATTTTAAGAAATTAGTTATAATAGAATTAATTTTAATATCTAATCTTTATACTATTTATAGTAAATTTTTAATAGGGTTAATAATTCTTAGTATAATACTTACTTTCGCGTAACACTTACTTTTACTAACTATAAGCGAGAGCTCGTAGCCTTATAAAAGGAAACCGACTATTAGACTGTTTTAAAAAAAAATCTGTCCTAGGAGCGCCGGGGGATAGTCTATTTAACCCTGCCTTTACCTCTAACGTAGGGCCTTGTATAAAATCAGCGTTTCTTACCTTACTCAAATAACTCTCAAGTATTCCGAAATTACGTGGTCTGTACAATGTTACCCCTATCCCAATGTTAGATCGCCACCGGACTGTTGGCAGCAGGTTTTATTGCCAATGGCGATTCCTCTCACGGTTGCTCTATCTAAGGTGGTACCTTAAAAGAAAGTGCTGCCCTGGGTACACTGTCCTAAAGCCGTCATATTAAAACTGATAGGCAAAAGTTACCTAGAAAAACACTGACAGTCCCAAGATAGTAACTTAAATATTCCCTGCACGGTAACTCTGGATATAATTGTGTGCTAGGTCCCGCGCTCCCCTGGAAGGTAGGTAGCATCATACCTAAATCAAGTCACGTTATCCCGTTGTCTTTCTGTAAAACAGCTTCAAATCCTTCCATTCCAAGTTGAAAAGATAGACAGAGAGTCTCCACCTAATAACTTTGGCCTCAGAGTGAGGAGAGGGAGGGGCGGGGGGTATCCCTTCAAGCGGTGGTTCGGTAACGCCTTTTAGCGTGAAAACAAAAAAAGAGTATATCGAACGTAACTAAAGAAGTATCTATAAATAAAATATATATACTAATAGTTTAACGTTGAACTAATAACTATTACTATATAAGCTTTTCTTTTAAAGCAGAGGGTGATAAGTTATATAGCAAATTGTAAAAGGTCTTTTAGGAAAACCGCGCTAAAACCACGCTAAAAGGCGTTCCACCGCTTGAAGGGGTATCCCTTCACGCTTAAGAAAGTCATTATGATACAGTGGTCAAGCCTGGCAAGTGAGAAAGGATAGAGGCCAAGAATCTACATAAATTTTTCTTTGTCTCTGCAAGCACAGCTAGAAATACACAATGGAGTTGTTGATCTCAGCATGAGAAGAGCAACAAGTCCTCGCACTCCGACCTTCCACGCGCCATTTAGCAAAGCACCAGTTTCTTTACTTCCCAGTACAAGTTCTAAGAAAGCATTAATGATTCCGACATTGGCAATCACTTCTTCTTACCCCTGCCTTTACCCTTCGTTGCAGGTGCAGCGTTTGAGACAGTAGACAACACACTGGATGCTCTTGAAGATGGCGCAGCTGAAGTTGCCTTGCTTCCCGCACCAGCTCTAATGCTGTCAAGGGCCTTGTTCTGTAGACGATGAGTCAGGAATATAAGAATGTCTACGGAATAGTAGGGATCATACCTTGAAACCATTCCTCGACTTCTTCTTCGCAGGTGCCATGCCAAGCACGCTATCTTCATCGTTCTCGTCATCCTCTGCTTCTCGCTTTCCTTTGCCATTGGCAGTTCCGTTGGCTTTGGGCGCAGACGCATCTTCAAACTCGCGAGCTACTGTAGTGAGAAGGGTAGTGCACCTCCGACTGATTTCCACTGGAGTGCGACTCAGGAAGAACCAATCGAATCTGAACAGCGGGCTGTCGCGGATATCATCGCGGATTCGTTCGAAAAGTCCTTCGCTATCAACACCGTACTTGTCAAGTAATACCAGCAAGAATCTATCCTCCTCCTCGGTATATACCTTTTTGTTTGTAGTTGACACAGAGTAGTTGATTTTGAGCTGTTGAAGTGGCACACGGTATTGCTGCATCTTCTTGCGCAACATCTTACGTTGGTGTTCCATCTTGCGAGTCTTTTCCTCGCCAGCCTCGATCAAGCCGATGTACTTGCTGTAGTCAGCAATTTCGGTGTACCGTTGCCAAAAGACCTTTGCGTATGCCTTGATTTCCTCTGCAGTCTTGCTATCGACTTCATCCGCGATGGAATCATAATCTTTGCGACCATACTTTGCAGAACCGTTAACAAATTGCTGGAAGTCTCGACGGTTCCAGTCAGCAAAACCCTGCTGCGACAAACGCTGCTTCTCCTCTTGTTCTTCTTCCGTCAATGGGGTCGCATTGTCAATCTCTTCTTGGTCTAAAGCACGCTCCGCCTCTCGATCGGAGAGCTGGTCGTCAGGACCATCAGGAAGAAGAACCTTGTATCCAATTTCCTTTCGATGATAAGCAGTCTCGCGGTCTTGCAGATCTCGGAGGGTCCCAGGAAAGAACTGGTAGTCGTGGACCGTGACTTGTTTGGGAGCACGAGGGGCTTTCGGCTTTGCATCTGCAACACGGCCCCCAGTAGACAGGGCTTGTTTGTAATACTTATCCATCGAATACGACTGTTCCTTTCTCTCCCGCTTGGCGGGATTGATCCAATGGATACCGATTTCCTTCTTCTTGTTCGTAAAATCTTGGCCATTCCACTCATATGCTGACTCTGATGTGAACTTTTGCAAGTCGTCAATTCCAAGTTTCTCATATCGGGCATTCAATTCTGCTGTCCGTTTTTCGCCATGCTTCAAAATTTCGTCAATATCATCGTCGTTGAGTTCACTTCCCTTCTCCGCAAGATTGCCCGTAGGTCCCTTGGACGAGAAGACCTTCTCGGCACCATGTTGTATCATGCTGAGCAATTCGTCTTTGTTTGCAGCAGCCTTTGCAGCAGCCTGGGCACGACCCTGTTGAATGACAAGTTGATCAAGTCGCAGCTTTTGTGCAGCACGCTCTAAGACTTTCTCCTCGATAGCGTTCTCCGTCACGAACCTGTACACTACAACCTGTTTTGTTTGACCAATTCTATGAGCTCGATCCATGGCTTGCAGATCCGCCTGTGGGTTCCAATCACTGTCGTAAAGGACTACAATATCAGCGCTCGTCAGGTTGATACCCAGTCCACCAGCTCGAGTTGTCAAAAGAAAGACAAATTTTTCCGAGTCGGGCTTGTTGTACTCGTCGATTGCTGAAATACGGTCCTCGTGTGCAGTACCGCCATCGATTCGGCAATATTTAAACTCTCTGAAAACGCAGTAATCCTCAAGGATATCAAGCAATCTGCTCATTTGAGAGAATATCAAAACTCGGCTACCTTGCTTCCTGAGGCGGACAAGAAGTCTATCGAGCATGACCATCTTGCCAGCGTTGGTGATGATATGTTCTTCAGTGGTATAAGGGGGTCCAGGTTCCGCACCTTCGAAAAGATAAGGGTGGTTGCAACACTTTCGAAGTTGCATGACGATATTGAGCAGGCGAGTTTTGGATTCGCGTTTCCCACCCGCTCCGTTAACTGCGTCGATATCTTTCTCAAGAATCTTTTTGTACCACTTGACCTGCATGTCGGACATTCCAATGTACAGGTTGATTTCCTTTTTGGGTAACAAGCTCTTCTCCACATCACTCTTAACACGCCGGAGCAAGAAAGGTCGCAGGACACGATGGAGCTGCTGAACAACTGTATCCTGATCTTCTCCCTGACCGGAGAACCACTGGTCAAACGCCTCGGCATCACCAAAGACATCGGGAAGTAGGAAGTTGAGCAGCGCCCAAAGCTCGTGCAAGTTGTTCTGTAGTGGTGTACCAGTAATAAGAAGTCGGTTTCGAGAATTGAATACTCGGATGACTTGGGCGAGGGAGGATTCTTCGTTCTTGATGCGGTGGGCCTGTTGACATTAGAATATAGCATGTCTCGATGGTTCATATAGGAATATACCTCGTCAATAATAATGTATTCCCATGCGAATTTCTTCAAATGAGACTTCTCACGAAGAATCATTTCGTAACTGGTGATACAGACGTCGAATTTCTCATCGATCAGGCGATCGTTGATCAGGGTATGGCGTTCATCCTTTGCTCCCTGAAGAACAAGTACATTGACTTCCGGAGTCCACTTGGCGAATTCTCTCTTCCAGTTGTCGAGTGTGGACTTCGGGACTACGACCAAATGAGGGCCGGTGATATCCATAATGTGTCTCAAGTATCCAAGAAAGGATATGGTTTGCAAGGTCTTTCCTAGACCCATTTCGTCGGCCAGAATGCCAGAGATACCGTTCTCGTGGAGGGATATTAGCCAGTTCAGCCCAGCGACCTGATAATCTCGCATCTCTCCGCCCTTAATGAAGCCTGGTGATTCTCGAAAGACGGTTTCTGCCGAACCTCCAGCTTTCTCATCTTTCAACAACTCGGCATCTTCCTCGGCTTCAGTTCTCCGTCGTCCTACAACAGCTGCGCCACCTTGCCTATCTCGACCCTTTTTGACAGCCTTTTCTGCCTCTGCATTCTGGCGATCAATCTCGACCATGATCTCTTTGATTCGTGGGTTTGGGTTGGTTTCAATGAAATGTCTGAAGAGGTCGGTCAAACCAAGGAGGTATCGAAATCGCCGAATCGAATCATCTTCCTTTTGATTGTCAGTATTTGTAACGCAGACCGATAGATCATTCTCGAACGATTAGCTATGCTGCCGTACCTTGCTTTCGCCAAGAACATCGTGCTTCTTTCCAAAGACACTTCGTCGGAGGAGAGTTGCCTGTGATCTTTTTTTTCTACCATCTACCGGTTCTCCCACCACGCTGCTGGCAGTCGTATTGGGATTCGTGTCTGAATCTTCTGTATAATCTGGCGTTTCGTCGACCTCCTGGGAGGAATATGTCAGAACTCATTCTAGGGCTTGGCTTCTTGGGCTTCATCACTACAGCCATTGTGTGGCACCGAGAAGATGATGTGTGACATACCATTGGATCAACAGGCAACTGTGTAATAGGCTCCGACATGTCTGCCATCGATGTGTCGGTGTCGGCGCCACTCGTGCGTGAGGAGCGTGGTGCCATGGTAAATCTACCTCTCTCGAGGAGAGCAAGCAGGGGACAGGCTACGATTCTAGCGACTCGCGCGTTATGTTGTCTTTTCAGGATGAGAAACGGTATCCGGTCGCGTTCGCAACAAGTTGGACTTTTGAGAAGAAGCGCGTGTTTAGAAGGAAATGAAATAAGTATCCCGTCGACGCGTCTACGATGGAGTGATTGAGGGCGACAGCGCCCTGTCTTAGGCTGGTGAGCGGAATTTTGGCTTGAGCACCGCGCCCACAAACTTGCGGAATATAATAATACCGATCCGAAGAAGGACATTCAGTTTTAGGAGCGGAGCGTAGCGCGCGGAGCGGCGAGGAGCGGAATATCTTAACTGCCGGGAGAACGGTGCAGCCAGGCAGCAAAGTCAGGACATGCATCGTCAGTATCAAACCCACCTGCATTTTCATTCCATTGCCTGTCCACCGCCGCGGACTCCACTCCAGTCACTCCACCCCACTCCACTCCACTCCATCCTCTATTCCAGAGATTTCTGTTTCTCGCTGCCTACCTACTCCAGCATCACCACTCGAGGCTCTTTAGCGGCGCCACTCGTCAGTCTTTTATTCAATGACTCTACAGCCTGCCGAACTTCGCTGAGCTCACTCTCTTACCTGCTTTGCCTACCCCCGACCTCGACTTAACCCAGCCGAACCCACCTTAACCAAAAACAGCAGCACGACTGCATCGCAATCATGGACTCTATGAGAAGCCTGGACACTTCTCTCCCGCGTGCAACACCTATAACAGCCGCTGCCTCGATTACATCCAAGCACCAGGACCCGCCCGAGCAGCTCCTCACTGCCTTCAAAGCCGCGGCCCTGTCTGTCACCAATCTCTACAAAAGCGCTGCCGTCGATCAAGGGAGGGCTCGAGCTGAGGGGTATCAAGATGCTCTGGACGAGCTCCTGACGTTTCTTGATAAGGAAGACATTGGGCTGAGTGATGGGGAGGGTTGGAGGGTCCGAAGATGGGCTACCGAACGATTGGATGGCAGGGATTCTGTAACTCCAAATATCGAGAGCGATGATGAAGCTTCTGACAAGGCAGAGCGCGGTTCATCCCCAACTATTCAAAGATCACAAAGCTCGAGCCGTATTCCCACGACATCAAATCCGATTAGAGCAGTTTCTCCGATGCGAACAGAATCTGCCCCACCAACCATCGTCTCGCACAGTGTGGACTCGGCGCCTAACTCCACACCTTCACAAGCAACTTTTACATTCCGATCTGCCCATCCCTATCCGCAAGATGCAGACATAATACTGTCAGGCCTTGACATTTCAGACAACACTCGCGTTCCTAATCACGATGGGTCAGTTGCCTCACATACCTCAAACACGGTATTGTCGGGTCTTGGCGTCTCTCGGCCACCGCGAACACGGCACAACAACCACACTCGAATCGGTAATCGGCCCAATGGTACCACTGGTAGGGGGGGTGGCCAGAAGAGAAAGATCAATTTTGGGGAGTTCTTCGATATCGGGAATTTGGGGCAAGGGAGAGACGGTTTTGGTGGGGGTGGAAAGCGTGGACGGTTTGCATGAAGCAGGCCCTTCTTCTTCCTAGAACTCAATACCCATCAGAGCTGTTATTTCTCAGTCAAGCGGATTTTAAAGATGGGAGCATTACAGGAGCATAGCGACGGATTTATACCCCTGCACACAGTCATGATTCATTATGTATCAACGGCGCCTTTGGGGCTTGCGACACATGTATACTTAAGCTAATGTTCAGAAGCGGTGAGCCAAGGAGCCAGAGGCCATTATCACCAGAAACAGTGTAAATCCACCATGTAAAGAAGGGGAATAGGCGCTTCGTATCTTCAATCCCCGGGCTGCTTTGAGATTCGAATGCGACCTTGGCCTTAACCCGAACCCGATCAGTGACAATGTATGTCCTTATTGGTTGGTTGACAGATAGATACAGCTGCTCCCAATGTACTTAGTATTGCAAACCTCCGTTTCGCCTTCATCATTGGCGAGTTATACATCTTTTCGTAAAGCCATGATGTATGCCCAAATTGGTTCATTTGGTATCCTAGAGAATGGTCCTTGCCTAAGACGTTTGACAATTAAGGATACCTGACTTGTTATCATATACAAAATTGTCAAATTTCACATTGATTTCAAACGTCATCGGAGAAGGTCGCGGAAACAACAGTGTTGCAAGAACGCCCAAGGCACAGGTCTGGTTTATCCATCAGGTCTCCCTTCCCCCCGCATGTCTTACCTAGCTAGGGGTAGCCTCATCTCTTGTTAGGACCCCTCTAACACCCAGGACAACGAACACAATACTATTCTGGCATATTTGTTCACTTAGCTTAGGGTTCCAGAGAGCGATTCTATGCTCTCATAGAGACTCGTGGTTATCCCCTCAACTGCCGTATCAAGCACACTTTTAAGAGGGAGGCCTGTAGCGAAACCTGTCATTGAGCGAAGAACGCTGAAATTTGAATCGTTTTTCGTCTTGGCAGCCTTAGCGCTTCGCTTCAGCGCTGTACCCTGGCAAAGGGCATTTTCAGCAGTTGGGGGGACTGTCCAGCCTATCGGGTCGAGGAGAATGGCCGTTTCAGGCACGTGCAGTACCCCAAAGTCAATACCTACCTTAGGTTCAGCGCATTACAAATAGGGTACAACGTTTCAATTAGAAAAATGTCTTTGCAAATACTGTAAAAATAGCAGCTCTAAAATGATCTAAGAAAATATTATGTTATATTCTGAAGTTTACGTAAAAAAGTGCGACAAAGTGACTCCTGCCTCAATCAGCCACTTTACCGTCGACCCGATCGCCAGCTTACCCCTTTTCCCGTGTTGATGTTACATGCAGAAGCGAGTGAAGCTAAGCGAGCGGCGACTGACAAAGTCATATTTCGGCGCCTCTCATTCTGTATCAAATTTCAATGTTTTGGACCATGCCCATCCATCTCGTGCATATGAAATGAAGCTTGGAACTAGAATGCCACTTTTATCAAAAAAGTTAGTTTTATTCTCTACAAGTAGACTTCTCACCTTCAAGAATTCACAATCGTAATTGCACACCTAACTACACGTGGGATGACCTCTGTTTCCAATCAGGTCCACAATGGAGATAAGTGAAAGGGGATAAGGAATGCAAAGAGATAACTAAAAAAGAGAAGAATTTGGGCTACACTTGTTGACTCTCCAATCATTATACCCACATATAACCCATGATAATTAGCTACCTGAGTGTGGGAACATTTCTAGCAATCAACAATGTTTCCTCTTCCCAATTCAATCGCCTGGCGTATCCAGATGCTGCCAAGTTATATGTCTATCGTCTCAGGACAGGTGTAGTATGGCTAGCTTTGTTCCAACGTCACGGTTGTATGCTGAGTTAATGTTGATCATCTTGGCCACTAGACTCTACGGTACCTCTCATACGACTTAAGCTGAGGTAATCCAGGAGTTAATCACTGTATAGGGGTAAGAGACAAGATGTCTTGCTATCTATAAGGAAGCAGATACGGCGCTGAGGACAACTGGTTTTGAGGAAATCCAAACCTTATAAATTCATTCTATACATCGTTTAGTGGACATGCAATATTGATTCCTCCCTTAATGCAGACCAGTGGAGGCCAAATGGCAGAATGCTCAGCGCAATGCATATATCGTATGGAGTGGGAAAACAGAGGGTAAGGGTGAAGGAGCGGGCCATCGTCTCCGACCTTCTCGACGGCAACATGGATCAGTGAAGCGGGCGGAAGAGAATCCAGTAACCAGTGCAGCGCAATCCAAAAGTCTTCAAAGGTGCAAGGAAAGATTCAGCTCCAAAGCAGTGTACGAACACCAACCGTACTGGTCTTTGAGATGGTGCGTGTGTTAACAAGAAAACAAAGGATCCACCTCTGTATCAAAAAGGAGATAAGGTAATTTGCAAGCAAGTAAATCACCGGCGTAGTCCTGCCAAGGTATCAAAAGATGGAGACCTAAGAAGCTCCAACCAGTGGGGGCCTATAGAGGTATCCATCGTCACAGCAACCAAATATATCAATGCATGCGTCCTTTGTAGACCATTTCGTCCTCGTCCTCAGTCTGATCTTCTGCCACCTCCTCCTCGACCTTGAGACTCAAATACGGGTTGTTGTTTACATGGTTCTGTGGCCGAGGGGGAGCGATGGGTCCCAAGACAGACTTATCTGTAGCACCTATTGTGTTCGAATTAGTGTCATCCTTTTTTAGATCCTGGGTAGGTAGGCCTACGAGTAGCTGCAGGTAAACTGTTACCACTTGGACGAGCTTGGCGGCTCTGGTCACCTTGTCTGTAATTAGACGATGATCCCTCCAGACGACGCCATGGGGCCTCAAGTCGCTTTCCTGAGCTTTCTGGGCTCGTCGTGGAACGCGGAGGGGGGCCCTCGGGGAGCATGTTATTTGAGTGTGCACGGCGGTACCAATTGGGGATTCCGTGATTAAGGCCCAGTGTCAACTGTGTTGCTCTATCAAACGGCATCTCGTGCTTGTACTTGCAGCCCATTTGAGTGAAAGCACAAACACCCTCATGAATCCACTTGTCGCAGTAGATCTTTTCGCGCCGGCGTGGTGCTGTTGACATTGAAGAGGATTGCACGATGGAGTCAATACGCTGCTGCTGAAATTTCAGCTATTCAATCCCCAAATAGGTGATATGATAAGAAGGGACCACGATTCAAGGAAGAGAATGAGCGTCTAAGCATACCTGGGTGCTGTCATATGGAGGCGGTTGCATGGAGAGCTCAGGTCGAACCAGAGTAAGCGGCGGGAGCTTCTGAACAACCTGTCATATGCTATTAATATAAAGAGGCACAACTACGATAGACTTAATATACATACCTCAATAGGAACCATGCGATCAGGGGCGTTTGGGCCCGGAGCTTGCTGCATGGTAGCAGGCACAATAATGAGGCCTTCTGGACCTTGACGGCGAGGAACACCGGTCACGGGGAATTCATCTGCAGGTAAAAGTCGAGTATATGATCCATCTGGTCGTCTCATTCCATACCCATATGCAGTCTGGACCTGTTCCGGCATTGCGGAGACAGGACCAGGACAGACTGTGCTGAGCGGGACACTGTTGTCACCAACGAGTTGGGAATAACCTCTGTGGCCTGGTGGGATACCCATCATTGGATAATTTGGGTCGTATTGGTCCAAAGGGGCTGACGAGGGCATTTCTGAGTGTCTCCATAAACCAGGACCTAGGCCATAGGCAAGGCTGTTGGTGCGGCGAACTTGAAATTGGCTCACTCGCTCGTTTCGCTCACGTGTGGACTGGAATGAGGATGACATTTTGTCTGTTTGAATGGGAGACAACAGACAGGACTCAGCGCTATAGTTGTCCATCAAGGTCAGTGAACATGTCATCTCAGTATCCAATTCTGGGCTGTGATCGTGGACATGGGCAGAGGAAGGGTGTGGAGCTTCATTATGTTGCAAAGCCGCCGAGCTCAAGTCTTGGTTTGACATTGTGATTCTGGCCTCGATGTAGCGATAGAAATGATTCAAGAGTGCTGCGGTACCAACAGTTCTATACAGCTGTTGAGAGCTTGCACTTGGAGACACTTTTTTTTTTGTGACAAAGCTATGATCGGCCTGAGACTGGCAGATGTGACATGGAAGGAAAGTTGCTCTAGCACTTACATCGGGGTCAACTGTCATGGAATCTTCTTTCTCGGGAAAGGTTTTTGGAAGTTTGTGGGCGTGCTTGCCGTTTGCTGGTAGCAAATAATACTGCCTGGCTTCGGGATGCTGCAGCGTTTGATAGTACTACACGTGACAAATCAGCGATTGGGCAGAGAACAAGGTGGAGGTTGATCAAACGGCTAGATTGGCATACTTCCAGATATGTGAATTCACAGTCACAAAACCACTGTCTAGTCGTGTCGCTCTGCTTCTGGGCAGCGTCTTAGCAAGCTAAGCCACCAGGGGCTGTTACCAGGTTCAAAGTAGCCCTCTGCACCTCTCGTTGAAAGTTGGGCTGTTATAAGTCAGTACGGTGGCGGGGTAGTACTTGATACTTCATATATAGCACCAAGTTATCTCGTATCAAGGCCAAACAGTGAAGAGTTTTCGTTTGTGATTCCGAAGTTCAAACTGAAATCGAACGCAATGGACGTGAAAGTAACTCCATATTGAACTTTATCTCAGAGAAATGAGAATCGGGAACAAAAGATGATCAAGTATGACTTACTTATACGCTGCCTACTCGTCGATTAACAGATTGCTAGGAAGGTACGACTTGTTTTTGATCTGGGGCTGAGAGGTTGATCACCGACAGGCAGATTTAACCCGAAGCAAAGCGTGGGACCAAGTTCGGAAGGAGGGCTTGCTATGACCTGTCGTAGATATGTTCAAATTTGAAATTGGTCAGTGGTGAATCGTGGAGAGGAATTTCTGTTGGCGAACGGTGGAAAAGTATGAAAGATATTCAGGAAGATTTCCAAATAGAAAGATGACACAAATCGGCAAGAAAGCCACCATGAATTGAGCGCAGAAGTGGCAATTACGCTTGGTTTAAAGACAGCACCAGCAGACACTGGCTGCGGAAGTGCAATATTATGTTCTGATTCAAGAGAGTTGTTTGGTTCTGTGGAGGACTGTGGAGGCACTGAATTGTAGCGAGCGACCACAGGGGGAAAGATGAAATCAATGTGAACGCATGGAGTATTTGCCTTTATATTTATGTTGTCAACAAGCCAAGAGAGTTGTGCCTGATATTAGTGATTCACCCATTGTGTCGGTGCTAATTGTATTCCACGAAATACGTTTGATAGCTCTCGGTTCCACTTTCCATGCTCTGATGTATGAAACCTGACCTTTTGGGCATATTTTGAACGACAGAAAACGCTAACAGGCGGAGAACAGGCGGAGAACAGGCGGAGAACAGGCGGAGAACAGGCGGAGAACAGCTCTTTGCGAGGACGCTTGCAGCTCTTGTAGTCAAGCACTTTCCAGCGGTAGTTTCCATGGCATCACAGAGCCGTCACTAGGCAGCCAGACCACAAAGACATAGTTGGATAAGCCACTGTATCTAAGTATTCGCCTATACTTGGAGCCGACTATAATGCGTGTAGTATTCGTGGATGAAGTCAGAATCCATAGCTTGAACCAGGCATGGTCTCCATTTAATCATAATTTCATAGTCTTGCGAACTCTCGGTCAGTGACGTATTGCTCAGCATTCTGCATCTGTCTCCAAGGCCCAGCTTCTGGAGTCTAGCTTATTTGGAACACTCCAACTTGAACACATAATAACAGGAGAATAAAAACAAAACTAGCAGATCAGATTATTATCATATTAAAGTGCTCTAATGTCAAGCCCCAAAGCAATGCTCGACTCGGGTGCTCTAGAGAAGGCAAAATGTACAGCTGTACAATTTCATATATCCATACATCCATCCAGTTAGTCGCCTGAAATTGAGCGACTTCATAGTTGGCTCCTGGGATTCCAAAGGGAAAGATCAAAGTGTATGGTTGCCCCCAAACCCTTCTTTTCCCTCAAAATGCCAGAACGTACCGAAGTCAGACTGGTCCCTCATCAACACGTAGAGCAGAGAGATTGTACGCCGAGCAAAATATGACTCAAACTGCATTCATCGGCAGCACTACTTGAGTGAAACCACCTTGTGCTCTCCCAGGTCGCGCGGCCATGCTAGAATCAATATGGCGAAGACGATAAATAAAGACATATGACACTGCCCCAAAAACAAGAGCAGGGAAGATGGAGATGTCATACTTGCACGACCTTGCCTGCCATAAAGTTAGATTCCCAAGGCATAGGCACTCGAGGCATAATTAGATCTGCCGAATTTAGTAGACCAAAGAATTTGTGGTTTCACCTTGAAGTCTTTCGATTTGTGGGTTTTACAGTTTCCATGCTGAATGCCCAAATCTGTTGTTGAGGAACGAATGGACAAGCCCGATCCTGAGCCGCGGTGCAGCACGGGCTGCACAGCACAATACAATGCCAGGAGCAGGGCCGAGGTCCAGGAGATCTAGGCAACAGGTATACATACTAGTGAAAGCAAAGCATATGCTGCATTTTGAAATTGAGTCGACATCGCTGTCGATAAAGCGATGTCAGCTGGGTGGAATCTCAGGAAGAAAAAGGTGGTAGATGGAAAGATGGAAGCTGATAGCTGGACGTTGGCGCTGGTATTAACTCCTGCCGATTACATAAGCGCCCTGTTGCCTCTCCATCGTAACACATCAATTCAAAAGGAATATAGACGCTGAGGGGTTGCAGTTTCCGTTTCAACACATGGGAGAACAAGGCAATCGTCGTAATGGTTGTGGGAAAGCGATGACATCAAACATACTTAGAGTGGCAAGAAGCCGTCCCATGAGAATCAAGCCATGTCACAACTCTTTTTCGCTTGGATCTGCAGCTCATCTTGGTGTGATGAACATTTAGGACTCTTCCTTCTTGTTCTTCTAATCTTGTGTTCTATTCTATAGTTGGCAAGGGTATCAAGCCATGGCGACTATCAATGCCTTGCTGACTAATCCCCTGTTCTTTCAGAACCAAGAAAACCTCGTGAAACTCTATGCACACGATACAAGTGCGCGGGAGGGGTCATTAAAAGAAAAGCGGGCGCACAGAGGTGACCCAAAGTCATGAGTGCGGTCTATCTATGAACATGCCGAAACGAGAAGGGGACACCTATCAGTACATTGAGAATGGGTCTGGAACCCTAGGGTTTACCTCGTCTCGCCTTCCTCTCGTGACCTCGATCAATAAGTGCCTTCTCCAGAATCTTCTTTGCCACATCGATTTGGTTACCGGATTCCTTGCTGCGGTGTAAGGAGTCGAGCATGAGGCGAATTTGCACTTCCGAGGACACTTTTGGACAAGACTTTCCTATGCCCAAGTGGAACATTCGACAGATGCCACATATCCCAGTGAACTGCGTTCGAAGAGGGCACTGGCCGATTGGATGGTCAGAACGACATTCAGCGCACCAAGGAGCACTAATCTCTTGTCGCTGCTTTAGCACTTCATTTCTTCCTTGTCCATTTCGTGGAACAATGAATTGGGTTGTGCCGCTGCCCTGGCTTCTGGCTTGGCTTTGAGTGAGATCGGGTGGATAGCGTCGCTCTCTGGCTCCGTCAGAGCAGAGTCTTGGTGCGCCCCCTTTGGGACCTTGAATCGAAGCTTCAGTCCGAGATGCGGTCTGAAGTGCAAGTCCCAGTTGTGAGCCTGCATTGCCGTACGCGTGCGAGGACTGGTGGTAGCTGTGTGGGATTTGCTTGGCGCTGGGCCGAAGAGCGTCTGTGGATGCAAAGTCTTGTTAGCTTGAACGACAATGACAGTCGTTGGATATGATCCAGAACTGGGGATTCTAGGAACAGCTTTGAAGGCGGGGTTGTCACCACGCTCATCTCCAAGATGAGAGGAGTTTTTCCTGTCGACGCCGTTATGAAGCTCAGAGGGAGCCGATTGATTTCTGGCAGCAGCCTCTGTCTTTTTCGGCAAAGTCTCCCCAGATGAGCCAGGTTTACGAGCAGCATTTGTTGCAGCTTTTGGTGTGGAGGCACCTGCTCTTGCATCGGAGATTACCTGCTGCTTCGTAGCATTGCTAGGAGCCATAGACTGTGCAGCTAGCTTCTGCTTAGAAGGATGGGGGTTCTTGGCTGCGCCAACTTTGGCATGTTGTAATTTGATGGTCTTCTGCATCCTGGAAATGGCCATCTTTGAAATGACCCGCTTCTTGCCCATACCTTTTGTTAGAATCTGTCCATTCTGGTTCTGGTGCAGCTCCAGCTCTTTCGCGTCAAAAATCTCAACATCAGAATTTTCATCTCCGTCTCCATCAGAATCGCCACCAGATCGGAAGTCTAGGTCGCTCGCAGAATCATCAAGACCTCGCTTGGATACCTGCTTCATCGGAGACGGATCATCTTCGACGTCCAATATTGACTTGTGGTAATCAATAGCCTAAAGCCCAATTAGAACAACGATAATCTGCAATAGTAATACAGTGAACACTCACCTGACGGGTTCGCTTTCCACGTCCGAAAGTTTGCATGTTTCTGGCAGCTTCGGCTGCTGCGTCTGCTTCTCTCTGCTTCAGAATCTTGTCCCATACCGAAGGATCTGAAGGAGCCTCGTCTGAATCAACCTTTCCGACATCATCAGTAAGAGCACCTTGATCGTTAGCCCAAACGCGTGCGAATGAGAACTGGGATTCTGCGGTTTGATCTTTGTCGGTACTTGTAGTTTCGACCTGCGTTCGGTCCAGCAATTTATCCACAGACGCAGAGTCATATCTGATATCGTTACGATCATCGTCATTGAAGAGTGCTTGAGCACCGTGTCTGAGAATCGATTCCAGGTCGACACCAGCTTCATCATCCGCTCCCATGCTCTCAATCAGAGCTTGGTCAAGGGCCATCTTCTTGCGGCCGATTTGAACAATCTTCTCTTCTGCACTGTCTTTGGTCATTAGTTGAAAGACCAGAACCTTTTTCTTTTGCCCTATGCGATGAGCCCGAGACAGGGCTTGTATATCTTGGTGAGGATTGAAGTCGGGATCCATGATGATCACAGTGTCTGCTGTTGCTAGGTTGATACCAACACCTCCAGCACGCGTAGATAAAAGGAATGCGAATAGATTAGAGTTCGGTGCGTTGAAAGCGTCGATTCGTTTCTGTTTCTCCAAGGAGCCGACGTTGCCATCAAGGCGCTGGAAATGTAAATCGAGTCCAGTCAAAAAATCCTCAATTAGATCTAACTGCATCAAGAATTGACTGAAGAGAAGAACTCTGTGGCCTCTCTCTTTAAGCTTCGGGAGCATGATCTGTAAAAGTTGGAATTTGGAGGACGCCTCGACGAGCTTGCGTTGGACATCTTCCTCGGAATCCGTCTTGGAGACTTCTTCAATGGCGGAACTGTAAAGGAAAGGGTGACAGAGACACTTGCGGAGCTGCATCAATATGTTGTTCAGGTTCCCTCTTTCAGCTGGCCGAAGAACTGTATTGGTCTGGCCGAGAATAGATTTGATAAGCTCCGGATTCTTTGCTAAGATAGATCGATATAGCTTTTTCTGGACAACGCTCATAGATACGGGAAGTATGACTTGTGCCATAGGAGGAAGGAACTTCAGTACCTGAAGCTTTGTCCGCCTGGGTGTTAACATCAGCAAGAGCTGTTTCCGCTGTGGTTAGTGGTTTTGATTGTAACATACCTCAAGAAAAATGGACGGATGAGCTCGTGCAGCTCAGGCAAATTATCCTTTGTTAATTCTGCATATTTCTCATCCATCTCAGCGGCATTGATTGAAGTGTCGAGAAATTGGAGAAGGTTGAACAGCTCACGCTTGTTATTCTGAAGTGGGGTGCCAGTGAGTAGAACCTGGAAGGGAGCTTTCACCGCCTTCAACGCAGTATAGAGCAAGTTCTCGTCGTTCTTCAGCCGTTGACCTTCATCGACAATCATACCAGCCCATTTGATACGCCTAAAAAAAGATCGACTATGTTCATCCACGGGAGCTTCATAGGAAGTAACAACGACATGGGCTCTAAGGTCACGACACCCATCTGGGTAGAGCTCATAATCCATTGCCATATCGCGGGCTTTCTTGGCGCCATAGTATGCAACAACTCGGAGGGTGGGGGCCCATTTCTTGATCTCTCGGCGCCAGTTAGGGCACGTGGAGTTAGGAGTCACAACGAGGAAAGGCCAGCACTAATCAATTAGTAAATCAAATACACGCATGACTTAAGTTACCGAGACTGACCTCGGGGTTGCCTTTGACCAGCGAAGCCATAAAAGCAATCAGCTGGATTGTCTTTCCCAATCCCATCTCATCCGCCAGGATGACATTCTTCTTTTCATAGAAGTTGTATAGCAACCAGTTGAGACCTTCCATTTGGTAAGGCATCATCTTTCCCCCAGTTAAAGCAGACGGCTGTTCTTTCAACTCGACGTCCTGTTCAAAGTTCAAAGACCGGAAAGCATCTGTGCGGGCCTTCATGACAGCTGCCCCTGGTGGTTCCAGATATCTTCCAGCCACATATTCATTGTAAGCCGCGACGAAATCACACCAGCGTGCTTCATGTTTTGGCTCTGGTGGCTTCTCCCAAACGGCCTCTTCGTAACCTAGGCCCTGAAACTTGACCAACACCCGCTCGACCATATTAATCGCAGCTTTGTCCGCTGCCTCCGACTCGCGTTCAAATTCGTCATCGTACTGAACGTCAAAGATAATCTCCATCCTCAGGAATTCCTCAGGAATAGCATCTTCTTTTGTGTACTTCGGCAATTCATTCATACCTTCATCGCGACGGACGAATGCTCTTCTCATGATTCTTGTAGTCACGCCCCACACCCAGGCACCTGGCATCCAAGTGCATTTAAAGTAGGACAAATCAATCCACTTGATAAGATACTCCTTCTCGTCTTCACGGAAGTCATCGATTGTTTGACCATCGATATAACTCTCTTGGTCGATAGGTCGCCAGGCAACGAGTCCTTGAACTTTTGCGGGCATTTGGCAGCAATCCTTGCAGCGCCATTTGAGAGAGTATTCCTTCAAGCGCTTCTCGCGAGTTTCGTCGATTTTCGTAACCTCGGACTTCTTTGAGCATTCAAGTGCTGGGAGATGCTCAAAGTGATAGCTACGTTGACAAGAGGTACATCGAAAGAGCACATTCTCCACGTTATTGACTAAGGCATCAGGTACCTGTGTAATTGGGTCATCTCCGCCGTTCTCCTCTCTCAGCTTCTCCTCTTGCTTTGGAGTTCTCTTGGGAGCAAAAGCGGCGCAAGCCGGCCCAGCTTCTTTGCAGATCTGACAGACATCTAAATGAGGTGCGGACCTGTCTTTCTTTTCATAAATACCAATGCAGCGACGACACTGCAAAACAAAATTGTCATAGCTAACCTTGGTGACCATATGTTCTCTCCCGCTGCGATACCCAAGACACACTTTGTGTATCGAGGTCGAGCAGCCTTGGCAGTGAATGAGCGGGCTGGTGCCTTTGTTAGAGTATGACCCAGAACCTGAGCAAACATCGCAGGTGTGATTGTGAAAGCGACCGAAGGGCAGATCCTTAGCAATGGGCTTGTATGTTTCACGTATACTGATGACTTTAGGAGTGTTGTTCATTGTAACCTCATCAGCATATAACTCTTCATCCATGTCCTGTTCTCTCATGCTCTTCGTAGCTCTCTCGCGGCCAGAGCGACGGCTTGGCTGGGCACGGTCAGGTGAGGACAAGGAGCCATCATGTCTTCGGGGTCTGACTCTGCTCTTAACTTTGCCACTCTTAGATTGTGACCTTATCTGCCGGGGTTTGTTTCGTTTTGGGCGCTTTGGCTGCATGTAGACAATATCTGAGTCGCTCTCATTGTACGCTACATCGGCTAACTCGTCCTCGTCTTCGTCGTCATTATCGTTCACGTCGTCCTGAAAAGAGCTGTTCGCCTTGATAGTGGGACGAGAATGGGCTGATCTTGTGACACGCGCCGGCTTTGGATCTTCGGAGTCAGACCCGGAGCTTTCCTCACCATGAATCGTCCTGGATGCCGGGCGGCTGCTGACTCGGCTGCTGACTCGGCTGCTCTGTCGAGTGGTATTGCTAGTAAGAAGGGAGACGCGTCCCTTGTCAAGGCGGCGTTTCTTGATGATAGATAGATCATCAGAGATCTCATCGTCAGAGTGAAGAGCGACGAGGGAGCTGTCCACAAAGCCAATGTTTGGCGTCTTGGTTCGGACACGTTTGCTGACTAGACTTGCCATATCGGGCTCCGTGTCTCCAGAATTGCTTGTGTTGCGATCAAAGAACTTGAGAGCATTCTGGCCGTTGCGAAGTTGGAGGAGAGTTTCCAATGAGACCTGGCAGACGTTAGTTTGTGTTCGTATTCCATTAAAAGTTGTGTCTTGAGTTCATGAGTCAATTCTAACCAGTGGGGAGAAGGTGAACTGATACCCAAGCTTAAGCTTGAATAAAAGTGCTGTAAAAGGTGATGTAGAAGAGGTCCAAAAACAAGGCAGAGAAATGAGGCGACACAATGCTACTGCGGTGCATGAAGCTCCTCTGTATTCCTTCTCAAAATTGAGAGCTGAAAAGTAATGCGGTTGTTTGTCAACAATAAGAGGATTTTGGAAGGTACCTATAGAAGACTCGGAAAAGGGATGTGTTATAGTGAGGCTCTCTCAACGCCATTATCAAAGTGACAAGTGAATTTGCTAGTAATTGAAAGTGGACCGCGAAAGGCATGAAAAGCAAGCAGTGATACAAGCAAAGTAAAGAGATGTTGAAAGGGGTGCAAATAGCAGTGACCACCCAGCCGCATGGAAGGCAGAAGCCTGTTCTTCAGATATACAGTGGTTATGTGCTTCTCTCGGTGGAGCAGCTTTGCTCAGCACCCGCAGTTGCAAATGTAGCCCAAGCCACTTGAATCCAAACATGTTCTGCCGTGCCATGTATCCGCCACACATATTTCTTGCATTAGATGGAAACAGAAAAAAGGGCCAAAAACAATACTCTTCGTACCTTCTTCTTCTTCCCACTCTCTAACTCGATTTTGTACCATGTAGAACCAGCCGGCCCTTCTGTCTCCTGGATAATTGTCTCCACGGTGATGTCACCTTGATAAGGCTGGTATTCCCACGGACGTGCTGGTGCGGAAACCAACACAGACAGTGAATCTGGTTTCTTCCGATCTGCAGGCTTGTGAGGCGACTCTCGGGGCCTATGCGACAAGACTGACTGAGGCGGCGAGTCCTCTGCTTGCTCCTGTATCATCATTTGGTTGGGTGTTCGTGGTCTTTCGCTTTCCAGATTCTCGGAACCTGATATGTGATCATGATTCTCTGACGCCATCACAGCAGGAGGAGGGTGTCTTTTCGTTAGGTTGACCGACTTACTTCACACAGTGGATTAGTCTCAAGACCCCACGGCCCGAATTTCGTTGAAGCATCCTATTACATACTCGGAAAATGCTCCTACACTGTTCAGCACATAGTTCTAAGCGTGTTCACAACGTCGGAGACGCGCTTCGAAGGCTGGTGAGGTCAATATTATGGACGCAAGCGACAGCGACGAGACAAAACTAGGTACGTACACTGTAGCATGGCCTTGGCCGACTGTACCAACACGGAAATTAATATCTGTGTGCTGTCCTGCGGATAGTGTAGACCGGCTCAATGCAGCGAATTATGGTTATTGGTACCCTTCCCATGGGTTTGCCTCGCGATGCGCGTAAAGTGCCTCTGGTGCCTGCAGGGACCTAGGTTACATAAGCTGGAAACATCAAACAAGGTCTCATTCGAACCTCGTCTCATCCTACGCATAGTTTTGTTCTAGCTGACTGTTTCCCACACCATACTACGCTACACTCACCACACAGCGCCGACTCTCTGGTGCACTGTGTAGTAAAATAATCAGTATCTGCCGTGCGATGATCAGCTCTTTCCGTTCGCCACGAACTTGCCAATGGAAAATATCGCTGCCGTCTCATTTCCATCTTCTTTCTTGCCTGCATCCTGCGCTGGTGTGCTCCTACCACGCGGGGAGAGCAGGCTCCGTCAATACCGCTATCCAACGAGGTCTTCGAAAATCTAAAGGCACTGCCTTCAGAGGGCCAAGGAACCCTCGTGCTGACGATCCGCGCGAGGTCTACAGAGCACGAACTGGCCTTCATCTCAACGAATTTGCCATCGCCAGAGTAAACTCGGCAGCAAGAAGGCAAGAGGCTCGCAGCGGTCCGCAGAATGACATTTTGGCACGCAGTAAGCTGTGGACCATGCGTGGCAGAACAGGTGTCAAGAACCATGGGAAACACTCTTCGCGTCATCCTATGCGGAGCGAAGCCATCCCGCGCCCTAAAGGGTCTCGGGACTTAGAGATGCGTGGTCGATTTGGGGAAACGCTCACTCCACGTATTCGCAAGGTTGAGCATACAAGAAGTCGGTCTAGCAGAGGAACTCACGGGGAAGCTAGCTACAACCCATCGGCAAGTACGTCTAGATTCGGGACTGGTTCAGGCACTCACGCAGCTGGCCATTCGTTCAGAACACAATACGGCCTAGGATCAGAGGATTCTGCATCGAAGGTTCCTTACCTATCCTTGTCATTCCGGGACAGGTCTTCTGGATCACCGACATCCAAGTCCTACGACTCGAGATTCGGTGCGCCAGGTGGCCCTTCTACCATAAGATGCAGTCAAGCGAAATTCGAATCAACGTCTTTGGATCATTTGAATCCTCCTCGGGCCTGTGATCGACTTGTTCGGCTAGGTAAGAAAAAGTTGACGAACCAGACCTCTGATAGAGTCGAATCAAGAAGTCCGTGGCTCAAACGGGAGTTTACGGAAAGGCAATTCACCAAAGGCAAAGTAGGAAAGCGTGGTACAGGATCAACTGGAGGAAGCGTCAAGACGAGCCATGGGGAAATAATTGAAGACAAACAATCATTGGGATGGCACAATGACGGCAACTCATCAAGCACACCCCATCAATCCCTTGTTTTTGATAGACACATACCTCTGTCCATTCCATATACTACACCTGCCTCGGAATTTCTGTACGGCACTTCAGTCGTTGAGGCTGCCATAGTCTCGTCAAGGAGTCCCAAGCGAAAGCTCTACAAACTTTATATCTACACAGGAGAAAACAGGGAAAATTTGGACCAAGATTCTCGACTGGAGCGGTTAGCATGGGAGAATGGTATTCCAGTGCTGCGAGTCGGCACCGAATGGGTTCGACTCATGGACAAAATGAGCAATGGACGGCCACATAACGGGTACATTCTTGAGGCATCACCTTTGCCGAGGCTACCTGTAACTCGCCTGGGAGCATTTAGGTCCGATGCTAACCAAGAAGGTTTCGAGGTATCTGTTGACCACCAGTCCAGAGAAGAGGCTGCTATAAACGGAACAAGCGATTTCATCCAGACAAAGGAATGTGACAGTGGACGAAAGCCTCTAGTACTCTTGCTTGATAGCATCGTGGATCCGGGTAACCTTGGTGGTATTATTCGAACCGCTTCCTTCCTTGGAGTGTCGGCCATCGCTATTTCTGCAAGGAAGGGCGCATCATTGACACCCGTAGTTCTCAAAGCTTCGGCCGGCGCCTCAGAAAACATCCCACTCTTTTCTGTCAACAAACCCGCTGGATTTATTGTCGACTCCAAGTCAGCCGGGTGGAGAGTCTATGCTGCTGTTGCGCCTTCCCGAAGAAATGACCCTTCAATGCCAGCATCTTTATCAACAGTTGATTTGGGGGATCCCCTTTCAAAGGCTCCTTGTATTCTTATGCTCGGGAATGAAGGCGAGGGCCTTCGTTGGAATCTAAGAAGTAAAGCGGATATCAACCTTTATATCCAGGGTAGTGGCCAGAGCTTCAACGTCGATAGCTTGAATGTTAGCGTAGCAACTGGTATTCTTTGTAGCGCATTTCTCTCTAAAAGTAGTAAAGTAGAAGAACTAGTTATAAATAGACTATCTACTAGAGAGTTAGTAGTAGATAGGTCAACTAATCTTATAGATACACTTTTTTAATTAACTTTTATTATTATAATAGACTAATTACGATTAGCTAGTTATATAGATAAAGCTTATATTATAAGGCTATAAGGCTAGAGTTATATAATAACCCTAAGACTAGCTTAGTTTATTAGTTACTATATCTCTTTTATTTATTTTTAAAGTTTTTTAAAACTCTTTTATTTCTACTTTATATTATAATTACTAATAAATTTTTCTTATATTATTATATTAAAAAATACTAACCTTACTTATAAAAATCTTAATATCTTCTTTTATTAAATTCCTTAAGTACCTTTTAAATATACTTAATTTATATTTATAATTAAAGTATTCTCTTTTACTTTTACTTTTATTACTTTTTTATAAGTAATTCTAGTTTTTTTAAGAGATTAAAAAAATCATAATATAACTTTATTTTTATAGTTACTTTTATTACTTTTTTAATATAAAACAAAGAAATCTTTCTTTTTAGCTTTAATTAGCTTTTTTTATATCTTATACTTTAGTAATTACTATACGCGATAGTATTGAAGGCTCTTCGAGTAACTTGAATTAATTATTATCTATTTTAAAATTATATATAAAGGAATAGAGAAAGTGCTCCTTTAGGCGATATAAAGCTATAGAACTGAATTAGGTATAGATCGAAAGCAAATAGCTATTCTTATATTATATACCCCCTAGGTAAGTAATAATAGAAGCGCTACTTATTATAGTTAGCTACACTAAGTAAGAATAAATAATTAAGCTAACTTATATAAAGTGTAAATCAGGTAAATAATCTAAGTAATATAAAGCTATATCTTTCTACCTCTATAAATCTTAAGCTTATAATAAATTTCTAATTCTCGATCTACTCCTACAAATTAAAATCCTTTAAATAATAATAATAATAATAATAATAATAATAATAATAATAATAATAATAATAATAATAATAATAATAATAATAATAATAATAATAATAATAATAATAATAATAATAATAATAATAATAATAATAATAATAATAATAATAATAATAATAATAATAATAATAATAATAATAATAATAATAATAATAATAATAATAATAATAATAATAATAATAATAATAATAATAATAATAATAATAATAATAATAATAATAATAATAATAATAATAATAATAATAATAATAATAATAATAATAATAATAATAATAATAGTAGTAGTAGTAGTAGTAGTAGTAGTAGTGGTAAAAGTACTAATAATAGCTTATATTAAGCTAACTACTTGCGCTAGTTATACTACTTATAAGTCTATAAGTTATAAACCTTTAATCTACGTTTTAAAGCTTAATATAATAATTAATAACTATTTTGTTATATAGTAGTGAAGTAAGCTTTTATTTAGTAGAGAGCTTACTTAATTAAGTAGAAGTTATAGTATTAAAAGATATATTTAAAAGAATATTACCCTTTAGAATCAGGGGCTAAGAGTATACTATATATATATAATATACTTACTAAGTATATACTAAACCTAAGATAAGCTCATATAGTATTAGTATTCGATATATCTCTATAGTATATTTAAATCTATAAGAGCTTACTATTAAATATACTAAATATAAGGTTAAGTCTAATATAGTAAGTATTTTATATAGTAATTATACTCTTTAGATAAGTATAGTAGTAACTATTTTATATTCAGCCGCTTATATACTTAGTAATAAAGGAAATATATTATAGTTATATATAGTAATAGACGCGCTTAGAGGTAAGGTATTACTTAATTAGGTAAGTTTATAAATAAATAAAATTTAAATATTAAGATATACTTTAAAGCTATATATAGTCCAATTAAACTAAATAAATATATAGAGAGCTAAGTATAAGATTCTTAAAAGAAATTATTCTAATATCTAAATTTAAGTAGTATATATATATTCTATATATAAAGTATTATTAAATTAAAGTAAGGCTCTATAGCTATTATATAATATTTACTATATTATAAGTATACTAATTAGCTAGATTAAGTAATTATATATAAGTTTAGAAGGTATAATAGTAAGTAATTACTATTATACTTAAAGGAGCTTTCTAATTAGCTAGTTTAAGTAATCTAGTTAGTAATTTACTTATTAGTTAAGTAATTATAATTATACTATACACTTATATATATATATATATATATATATATAAATATAATCTTTTTTTATAACCTTATAACTTTAAGCTTATTATATATTATATACTTATACTTATATTCTATTTCTACTTTCCTTCTTTTTCTTTTCTTTATTACTTATTTCTAATACTTTTTTAAGTAATTAATCTCTTTATTATATTATTATACTTTATTAACTTACTCCTAAATCTACTAAGAAGAAGTTTATATTAAAAAGACTTCTTATTAAGTATTCCTTTACTATTTCCGCTTTAACTAAAAGACTTAAAAAGTATTTAACTACTTAAGTAAGTAATTTATATTTTATCTTTACTCTTTAATATTTACTTTCTTATATAATTATTACTAGTAGAGATATATATCCCTTATATATATATAGAGTTTACTTTAGTTAACTTATATATAGAATACTAATAAAGAGTATAAGGATCCTACTTCTAATAAAGAAGTTATTATATAATCTAATAAAAAAGATAATAATAAGCTTTTTACTTAGTCCCTTTTTACTCTTACTTTACTTTTATATTTTAGTTTTCCTTAAGATAAGCTTAGTAAAGCTAATAATAATACTAATAATAATAATAAAGATAATAATAAGCTTTCCTTTTCTTCTAAGATTATATCTCGTACTTATACTTATTTATCTACTCTCTTATTAAGTTATTTATACTATCCTCTTTCTATTAATAATTTCTTACTAATTATTATATCTAAGTCTAATAAGCTAAAGAGAATTATTACTACTTTAAAGTTCTCTTATAAGTTTATAATTACTCTTACTCCTATTAAGCTTCTAATAGAGTCCGAGTTATATAAGAAGACTAGTCTTATAAAAAAAGTTAAAAATAAGTAATTATTCTATTTATTTCTTAAATAATTATTTCTTAAAATCTATATTATTAATATATACTAATAATACTTATAAGAAATAAGTTTACTCACTTATACTTTAAATATATCTAATCTACGCTCTCTAGTAAAAGTAATAAAAGTTACTATTATACTAATACTACTTTAAGTAGCGATTACTATTATAATTATATATCTAGTTATATATATACTCTTATATCTAATATAATTACTTCTATTACTATATATCTAATTATTACTATTAATAAGAATAATAAGACTATAAGTTGAATCCTTCTTAGTGTTTAAGATCTTATAGCTAATATATAATAAGACTAAGGATAGTATGATAAACTGATCACGATAAGCAAGTCACGTAGGTAAGGCTAACGTCGTAAGGCTACGAGGCTAGAGTTATATAGCGAACCTAGGACTAGCCTAGTTCGCTAGCGGCTATATCCTCTTTACTTATTCTTAAGGCTCCTTAGGAACCTCTTCCTCTTACTATTTTTTCTACTTTATATTTTAGTTACTAATAAACTTTTATTATACTATTATATTAGAAAAGATTAACTTTACTTATAAAAGTCCTAATATATACTTTCACTAAATTCCTTAAGTACTTTTTAAGTATAGTTGAGTTATATCTTTAGCTTTCTCTTTTCTACTTTACCTCTTATATCTTATTATTTCCTTAAGTACTTTCTAAGTGTAACTGAGTTATATTTATAACTTAGGTATTACCTCTTACTTTTTACTTTTATACTTATACTTCCTTATAAGCGGTTTTAATCCTTTCTAGAAAAGCGATAGAATATAATATAGTATTCCTCTTACTATTAAACTTACTACTTTACTAATACTAAGGGAAAGAAATCCGCTTTTAATTTCTTCTTCCTTATATATTACCTCTTATAAATATAATAGTAAAAAGAAAAATAACGTTATCCTCCTAACCTCTTATAATAATACTATATCTCTTAAGGAGAATAATCCCTAAGACTAATAGGACTACTCTTAAGAGGAATATACTACTCTTATACTAATAGTTAGAGTTACAAAGAGCTCTAAGGAACTTTAGAGATTAGCTAAGTACTAAGAAGAGTAAGATAAAAGCTTTTATAAGATACTAGAGATACTTAAGAACTTAACTTCTAAGTCTAAGAAGTTTAAGTTATTAAGCTCTTAATAGTAAGCTTTTAACTTAGGGGATAGTAATAACTCTAATAATAGTAGATTATCCGGAGATAACTAAGATAACACCTTTTAAGTACTAGTAGAGCTTGCCCTTACTTACTAAAAACACTATAAGAGACTCTTACTTAAACTATATATTAAAAAGTTCTCCGGCACTTCTAATAGCTTAGAATAATATACTTAATTCGCTTTTATAATAAGTAAGCTAGATATTAATACTAACTACTACTTAAGTAAGAAGGCCTAACGAGTTATAATATATAACTATACTAAGAGCGACACCTAGAGTTACTTACTTCCTTACTTTAAAGTTAGTACTATAGACTTTTTTATAAATACTAAGGAAATACTTAGCTACTTTAGTAGTATTTATAGTAACGCCTTTAAGTAATAAGACGCTAAGATAGCTTTAAATAAGCTCTAAATAGTAGCTAGTAAGTTATTTACTAAGTACTACCTAAAGTTCTTAAAGCTTATTTAAGATACTTATATCTTATTTATTAAGAGCTTTACTACTTACTTTTATAACTTCTTATACCTAGCTCTTAAGGATTAGGTAGTCTATAAGTTCACTCTTAATAGAAGTTTCTAAGACTTTATCTCTATAGTAGATTTCTTAGATAAGGAAGTATACTAAACTTAGGAATAATATTAGTAGATTATAATAACTACTTAAGCTCTCGCGCTAGTAGTTCACTCCTTAATCTCTATTTTCTTAAAAAGAGACTTAGTTACTTTTCC